AAGTTTAATTTTTTCATTAATTTTACGGATGTTAGACAATCTAATAAAAACCGACAAATGAAAATACTATTAGCCTAGTAATAAGGTAAACCAAATCCATCCAAATCCCCCAAGGTTATTAAACGTATTAAAGATAAAGAAGCACACTTCAGTCTACGGAATATATTAGTTGATCATTTATTGGAAATTTATTCCAACATATATATATATATATATATATATATATATATATATATATATATATATGTTATAAATGCATGTATAATATTTATTTAAAAGTATGTATGTGTAATATTTATATAAATGTATGTATAATATTTATATAAATGTATGTATAATATTTATTTAAAAGTGTATATTTGTAATATTTATATAAATATATGTATGATATTTTTGTAATGAAAAAAATATAGATTATATATTTGTTAAAACAAAATTAGTAGAAGGGGTGTGTTTAACAATCTATGTAAGTTGAAATAATAAAATATATTAGGAATATATTTGTTGGGATAAGAAAATAAGGTAAAAAAATAAAATATACAATAAAACCTCTATAATTTAATACTCGATAAATTAATAATCTTGATAAAATTAATAATTTATCCGGTGCCAACTTGGGACCAGTACAAAATTGGACCTTAATCGATAAAATAGTAAAATAATATTTTTTTTTGAAATCCCAATATAAATATATTGGTCCCCATGAAACTATAAATTGAAAATTATTAAAATATTCCAAAATTCTAGAATTGTCTAGTAAAAAATGAATTTATAATCACTTGTTTTTTAGTGAACTTCAAATCTATATTGAGTTCGTCTTTAAATTTCACAATTGCACTTAAGAGTTGAGGAACTGTATTCTCGTATTGCAACAAAAAGTTGTAACGAGTTGTTGTTCTTGCAATGTTTCTTTCCGAGTGACCGGTTCTAAAGGTACCACATCATCACCAACTGAATTTTGAACGGTATCCGCGATAATTTGTTCAATGCTTTGAACCTCGTAACATTCATTAATTTCACTCGGATAATCCAACAACTCATTCACATCCATTTTGTGTCGATAATGCATTCCCATAATCAAGTTCTCAAGCTCACGAATGTCTTATCCATAATATACATCGTTTAAATCATTTGAGCCGGTTGGATTAGCCGAACAAATATTACAGTGTCGCAAGTAATTTGCTATGGACTATTGTTTCACATTTCTTCAAGCTGAGACAGTTAAGTTGATGTCATCTAAAATATTAATCTTTTCTGGGGAAGAAATGTCCAACTCATAACCTTCCAAAACCTTATGATAAAACATTTTACGATAGTACATTTTAAAGGCTCTAATTATCCCAACATCATATGATTGAATATTTGAAGTCATGTTTGGCGGTAGAAAAAACAACTTGATGTTTTGCAACCCTTGAATATTTTTTGAATGGCTGGACAATTATCCACTACCAAGAGAATTTTTCGACCGTGCGTTTGATTATCTAGCCAAATAATATATTTTCGAATATAATCCAACTCTTTAAATTAATAATTTATTAATTTATCGATATAATGATATCTTGCTAAATTAATAAAATCTCTCAGTTGTAACATTATTAATTTATAGAGGTTTTATTGTAATCGTAAATGATACATTATTTACTCAATTTTTTTTATTCCACTTTCAAAAGAAAAAATAAATGAGTAAGAGATGGTATTAAACATTTTTTCCGGTTAAAATTTTTCGACATCAACAACACGACGACTTCTAGGTCATTGTCTAGGTAGTCAGGTCATAAAAATCGAAAAAAACGAATATGCACAAATATACATACATTTATATTTATAGTTTTAATCGTTTTTTCATATTTTTTGACATACGACTTGTGTGGACAACGACCTTAAGGGTTGTTTGGTGCTGTTGGTTTTGAGAATTTTTTGCTCTAAAACATTCTCAAATTTTCACACATATCTTTAGTTCTCAAGATATAACACAAACACACACACACACACACACACACACACATATATATATATATATATATATATATATATATATATATATTCCAAAAACAATCCATCTCTAAATATTATTAAAAGAGAACCTTAAATTCTCTACATAAAAAATCAGGGTCATTCATTGTATTTCAATCTTATATTCTACACCATTAGATCATTTGCTGACATCATCCTTACACCCAAAAACCCTTTGCCTAATGTTGCCTTCCGTTAGTTGTTTACTATCTCTGTCTATTCTTCCGATCTAACGTTAAGAAACAGTAAACCATTCGCTTCTACTTCAATCGGACAAGATGACACATCTTCTGATCTCCACCACCTTTGTACACCTCTTCTAATCTCGCTATTGCTTTCCTCTCCACCGCCTACAAGAAGATGGCAGAATACCCGCACTATTCAATCAACATGTAGATTTCAGGGCTTTCTCTTTCTGATTTTAGGGTTTTCACTTCCATCTTTCGTTTTCAACCGTCGACTTAAAATTGACCAGCGATTGTCATCTTGAAAAGTGTTTTTTTGCATATTTGTTTGAGTAATTGTGAATTTTTGTTCGGTTTTGAAGGTGAATAGAATGTCAATATTAAATTCAATTTTCTTATTCGGTAATTTGATCTCCTCATGTAGGAAGTTTAATGCGTGTGATTGATCTTAAACACCAGATCATGATAGTTGGGCGTTTTTGCATTTTTCATTGCTTTGTCAACGTTTTTGTTATGAATTTATTCATACATTTCTGGGATCTATCTCATTTTTTTCATCCATACATACCTTTTTTTTCCATGATTTTATCGTATTCCTATACTCCATTCCATGGATGCTCATACTCACGTTTTTTCTTCTCTTTGCTATCAAACAATTGTTAAAAGTAAAGACAGATCCTTATCTGTTGCTTCAGCTTTTTCTGGCCACCAGAAAGGTTAGATAAGATCCACTGCTAATCAACTTTTGGTGCACAACAATTTCTTGACAAAAGCTGTTGATAATTATCAAACACCTGTATAGGATAGAGACCACAAATTGTTGACAAAAGCTGTTGAAGAAGCTTATAAAAGGAGTAGATAATGGAGATAGAGGCCAATTTGGTGCAGTTGTTTGCAAAGATGAGATTGTTGTGATTTGTCATAACATGGTTTTAATACACATAGATCCAACTGCTCATGTTGAAGTTACAACAATAAGAGAGGTTAGTTAGACTCATTTTTACCTATAAATAATAGTAAATTACCATTATGCCCTCCTTCTGTCTAATGAATAAAAAATGACTGTCTGTTTGTGAATTTAGTCTTTTTATCATTGCTAGATATTTTTTACTAATTATTATTTTTACACCATGTATTTTAGGCATGTAAAAACTCAACCAAATTGAGCTCTCTGATTGTGAGATTTATGGCTCTTGTGAGCCCTGTCGTAAGTGCTTAGGTTACAAGGAATGGTGTATATGTTTGCCATGGAAACTGCAATTTTACCTAGGCTATCTTATCACATAAGCCGAATAAGCCGAATTCACATGGAGTACAATACGACAATGATCAAGAATTATGCCTTGATGCATCATGCATTTAGTTGTCATCTTTCTTTTTCGAATAAACAAAATCCAATTTTCAATAGTTTTCAATGGTTACACACTTTTTGGATTTTAATATTCTTTTAAAATTTGTATTTAGGAAAATATCCCTAACACAGTCCAACAAACTCCACATCAGCATCTCATGTTTTTTCACACCACTAACTTAGTTACTGGTGCCTGTTTCTCCACATGGAGTTCTACAACTCGTGTCATTAGAATAATATGTACGCTTTTATTCCTTCATGTCATGTTAATTTCTGCCAGCTTGCACTTTATTATACACTTTGATATAATAATCTCATGTTTCCCCTTTACTTGTGACTACATATATACTGTGTTTCCAAGGATTATTCTTCTGTCCTGAAGCAGCTTCATTGATCCTCCATAATTTCTCTATTTTGATGGGTTTGTATAAGAGTTGTTGCGGCTAGGAGCAGCAGCCATCTGTTAAGATGATCCCATACTCTCAGTGGAGGATCTTTGTGATCAGATTCTATAGGTCCTCATTTATTTTCAGTAAAAATCCACCATATATATATTTTAAAAAAAATCATTATTCTTATATAACTTTTTTTATTCTGGTTATTTAAGGCTTGGTTGGTTGTTTTGAAGCAGCTTCATTGATCCTCCATAATTTCTGCATTTATCACATCAGTCCACCAGGACACGAGGTCATGTAAATCTCAAGGTTAAATTTCGTAGATTGATTTTAATCCATAATGCTTGATCGTTCTTAATTTCTTCAATAACGTTACTCCATTACAATAATAAGAAGTTTTATAGATTGATTTTAACTGATCACCTCCATTTTAGGATGGTTGTCTGCATCTGTGTGAACTGACTATAATGTTGAATTCCGATATGAACAATGGAATAAACTTCAAATGATCTTATTTTGATTGTTTTAGTTGCTATAATTACTTTTAACTCTTTTTCCTCCCAATTATCCGATCCTGATCTTATCTTGATTAGAAAGGAAGAGAAACAAAGAAAATTCATGATCAGGGAGGGAAGGGAAAAGGAGGAAAAGTTCGTTATTTTTACACTTATTGTTACATATATGATAGCTATCATTCTTCCATAGCTAATATATATTTTAAAACAAGCTGTGTAAAGAGAGGGGGGGGGGGAGGGGGGGTGGGAACTCCTTGACCGGATTTTATCCAAGTCACCATTTATGTTTTTTTTATATCAACAAGAGTATCATGTAAACCTGAACCATATTTTCTACATATATAATATCTAGATGGAAGCTTGAGCACATTTGAGACTTTGGCTTCTACTAACATATGTGGCATCATACACTCAATTCTTGGTGGTCAACCTCTTCATATACTTGGAGTTGTAGAACCTACAATCATTATTTATACATACTTGTATAATTTTGTGAAAGGGAGACAAGATTTGGGTCAACGACTATTCTTAGCTTGGCAGGATGGTAATATTTTTATAAATCCCTTCACCATGTAGAAAAAAGGTTCTAATGATGATAATTTGAGAAAATATTTCAAGTTTGTTTTGGACTAATTCTGGTTTTGTTGACTAGGGATTGGTGAGTCAGTTCAAAGCTCCCAAATATGATGAACCAAATTCACCAAAAGATCAATTTCAGTGGCTTTACACTAATGGCTTGCTTGGTATTATATTTTCGATGATGTTGGCCAATTCGAGAGTGTTGAATTATCAATACTTCTATGCAATGATGACTTTGCGATAGCAGCAAGTCACAGAACAAGATGATGGAGACACAAACACAACTTAATTTGATAATGACAAAGAGGAATACATCACAGAAGTATTTGAGGAACGATGTTTCTAAACTTTTTAAGAATGGGCTTGATTCCAATGCCTACAAAAGGGTAATTATTTCTTTAACTTTCTTATTCTTTTCACGGTCTTCTTATGTTATCTTTATTTTTTGGGTTAAAAAGAACGATGAGTTAGACTAAATTCAAGTTTTATACAAATTAGCACCATTGGACGCTCTCTTCATGTGTTATATATGGTTTGACTTTCGATTGAATTTGAATAGATTGATTGAATTCAAACCAGAAGAGTGTTTGGCTGTTTGATTTGGAAATTTTATATTTACGTAACTTGTGTTTTATAGTAGGCCTAATTGGATAAGAACAATTTGGTATCCCTAACAATCCGATTCTTGAAGGCTTGATTGCGTCATACAAATGATGAATGCCACTTTGGTGTGATAAAAATCGAAATGTGAAGATTCTTTTCTGTAAAGGTTGAATTCTGTAAAGATTCTTTTATTCCCTATATATAATCTCAAAAGACTTTTATTTTAATAATAATTTTAAGCATTCAAGCTTTGAAGTTGGATAGATTGATCATTGATACGTTATGGAGATGGGATTGTATTTTTTAGGATTGTTCTTTTCTCTATATAATCTCAAAACACTTTTGTTGCTTTTCATTTGATGATAACAGGTTGGACAGTTACATGTTGGACAGAATCTGTCATTATGTTATAAATTATCTCTTACCCATGGCTAAACAAAGGTAAAAGATTTACCTTTTTAGTCCTTCAAAGTTTCATTTGATATTTTAATTTAAATCGGTTCTCAATCACCTGTAGGGAATGCCCTGAGGAATGCCACGAAGCTATCTCCACTTTGATTTTTCTGCAACAAGCTTTCCTGATCTGCTAGAAATACACGAACTAATGATTCTATATGTGCTAAATGGTGTTTGACAATAGGTGTAGCACCTATCAGTCAGGTAGCTTGACTAAACCATATAAAGCAATCGATGGAATTTTTTGGATTTGGGCAAAATGGTCTTTCTTTTGTATCACAATTGTCTTGAAGAGGAATTACTCCAAAATTCTTTTCACATTGCTTAAAGGGAGATAGATTGGGCGGTGGAAATCTTGTTTTTGGTGAGATTTGCCCCCGACTATGGTTTATAGTCTCTTTGTCCCATCACAATACATATTATTGAAGGGTATTTTAGGAAATATCAAAATTTGCAACTTTTATTTTGATTATACAATCAAAAATCACAATAGAAATGTAATTGTTAATTTCTTATCTTGAAATCTTATATTATCTTGATCTTTCAGACCTCATTACAATCTTGATTTAGAAAGTATTTGGTCAACGGTCAAATGTTGACCATTGACCCAACTGCTTTCGCCACATCAATAACCAAGGAACCATTGTTGATACAGGAACAACTTTGACATACCTTGTTGCACCATGGTGTATTAGCCTTCTCCACATCAAATAACCAAGGAACAATTGTCTCAAAATTTATATTTTTTATACAAATTTATTATTGGGTCAAAGATTGGGTAACAAAAGGTTTGACTTTTTTCACGTGTGGTTAGGATGGAGGTACACATGGTGTATTGGCTTTCAGAGAGTCCAGAATGGTGTGTTAATTTTTGGAGGTTAGTTAAAATATAGTAAATGACAATTTTACCCTCAATACTCCACTTATTGTTTTGACTTCTTGTATAAAGGTTTTCGTTTTCTGTTTTTGACTTATTTTTGTTGCAGATATTGTTCTTAAAGATAAGATCTTTGTATATGATTTATCAAAGAAACGAATTGGATGGACTGATTATGATTGTAAGTATGATATGATTCTCCTTTATGTTGGTTTTTTCTTTTATATCTTATTGAATTATGTCTTAGTGTCTTCTTGGTATCCTTTCATCAGGTTCAAGTGATGTAAATGTCTTTATAACTTCAAGTAAAGATGAATTTAAAAATGCGGGAGAGTTGAATGAGAGCACTTCATCAAGAACCACAAGTGTTCTTCAAGCTCTATGGTTGTTGCATATAGTATCAATGACACTTGGGAGGGTATTTTTTTATTTTAATTATTCTTGTGGCATTTTATAACTATGGATGGCTTCCAAGGGAGGGAAAAAGAAGCGTTTATTATTTCAATGGTCAGGTTAAATTCAAAGAATGAGGTATTTCTTTATTTTTATTTTTATTATTCTTTTGGTGTTTTATAATTGATTTAAAATTTAAAGAAAATGTTGACATTGGTTTTAAAATTCAATTGACTCTTCTCTTTTTACAAAAAGACCAAAATACCATTATCATCTATGTGTTAAGAATAAAGTAACCTGGAAATATAGAGTTCAAACATCAAATTTGTGTATTTTCCGCTTAATTACAAAGGATGTCCCTGTGGAAAAGTGGCCAAAATTTAACAGACCTGAAGTGTCGTTGACTCAGTATGACCTTTTTTTTGTCTTATTTATATAAAGTGTATAAATGATGTTTAAAATATATTTTTAGTTCTGACTTAAACATATTGGTTTAAGATGTTGGAATGAGTGATGCAACTCAGTTGACTTGGTACTGACTTTTTGTTGAACATGTTGCTTTGAAGTTTGACCATCTTTACATCAATCTTGATTTGTTTTATGAAATTGTTGATCAGGGGATTTGTGAATGACATGTATAAGACAAATGTAATTCTGATGCTTCCACCACATCTGATTCACTGATTGGATTAGCTTGCATTTATGTAGCCAATATGCTCAAGGAGAAAGAGAATGTTGCTTGGTTTGAAGATCTAAGAGTTGACATGAATGTGGTAATTGTTTTGGATAATGATTTTTGATATTATGAATGTTTTGAAAGTTTGAATTGTAGCAACTTATTGAGTTATTTTGTTTGACAGGTGAAGAACATAGTAATGTAAATACTTGATTTCTATGATGCCCACAAAATTATAATTCATGATAAAGTGAATGATGCCATGCACAAGCTCACCATAAAAAGTTAAAAAGATGAGCTGAATTTTTTTTAATTTGTTAGTAAATGACTACCATAATAAACTGGTATATGTTCCTCCCAAGTTTATACTAAATTCAAGAGCATCATTTATTTCAAGTTTTTTTTTTTCACATTTTGAAAGAAAGTGTGTTAGTGCTATAAATATATGTGTTGCCATCACATTTCTTAATTTACAACTTTCGAGATCATCTCTTCTCCCTAAAGATGTTCTTGTTCATGATAAGCATTCTTAGGATCGTTGCCTTCAATTATAAACAAAACAGTTGATGATTGAATCATAAGCAACATAATTAACTGGCGTAATTTTCAAATACAAAAATGAAATTAAATATCGTTCCAACTTTTAAAATAGGGAAGAAAAGTTTATGAGGAAAGCTGTGAAAAGGGACAAAATATCAGTGAGACAGCTACTGAGAAAATCGTATATTTACTACAAATAAAATTACATTTAGTGACATAAGCTTTTAGTGGCATATATTATTTTGTGACACTATATTATACTTTTAGTGACACATATTTTTTTGTGCCATTATATCTATTGAAAATTCTAATTTTAAGTTGCCGCTTTGATTCCCTCCAAAATCAAAAACATTAAATTTGGTATTTTTTCACTCATCACACTTAAAATTCTATGTAAGTTACAGTTGCTGCTCCTAATTCCCCCAGGGTTAAAAGCATTACACTTTGTATTTTTTTTCCCTAATCGATGTCAAAGCAAGAAATCTACTTCTTACTTTTCAATGCCAATAAGGTTAGATTTAACTGATTTCCTTTTTCTTTGAAAACATTAATTGGCATGAGTCTTAATTTCCACTAATTGGCATGAGTCTTACTGATGCATATTTATTGATTTCACATTTTCAGTAAGGTATATAGCCGCAACAGTTTTGGATGTTGCTGGATATCGTGATGTCCAAGTCCAAACACTAGGGCGTGGTTTCATGGATGGTGGAAGGGATAACCCTTGAGACATATGCATAAAATTCGAAGGTATGCTTTACTCCTATTAATAAGTTTCAAAGATTGTTTATATTATTAGAGCTAAAAATCAAGACCAATACATACGATTCCCACATAGATCCTAATGATGAGTATGAATTCACCATGTTCTAATTATCTTTGTTATTACATAGTCGAATTCTAATAATTATGATCATTAAATATCATAATATAAAGTGCTAAAAATAAGTATAAAACAAATAAGTGGATGATATGTAATATTCTGTTTAGTTAGTTTAATTATCACCCAAATAGATCACACATTAATTAATGTAAAAAAATGATTAAAAATCAAAATAAGTATCTATTCTCTTAAAGATTTAACACCAATAATGTTTATGTCTAATAGTATTAGTCATAGGCTCTCATGTGTTTATCAACTAGCTGTAAAAAATATAAAATATTTGTTATGATTTGATAATTAAATGTTTTACATTTGTAATATATTGATAATTAAATGTTCGTTTTAAATATGAAACAAGTTGTTATGTTTTGTTTTATTGCAGACGCCTACTTCTTAAACATCATAAATGATGTCAAGGAGGGTCCTAGAGTTATAGACATGCTTTAAGAGGAATCATCTGCATTCGAGTTTCTTTTTACCTCAACACATATTTAGATGGATAGTTTTTATTTTTTGAGTATTAGCAGCACCATTTAGACTTATTAAAATTTAATGATATTTTATTTTAAATATTAAGACTATTGATGTTAGACAAGTTAAAATTTAATCTAAGTAATGATATTGTGTTTTTAAATAATCAAAACTAATTTTTCAATATACATTTTTTGGTAAAAAAAGTTATGCTACTAAAAGTAGGAAAATGAAATTTTATAGCTAATAAAGAGTGGCATAAAAAAACTGTCATTAAAGTCCAAAAATGTTTTAGTGGCGTAACAAAAAGTGTCTCTAAAAGTAAAAAAGGTTGCAACGACGTAACCAAAAAGTGTCACTAAAAGCTTTTAGTAGGAGCGTTTTTAGTGTCACTTTTATTTGTGCCGCTGATTGCCAAAAGTGTCTTTAGTGACACTTTTTTAGTTTTCAGTGACATTTTTTTTGTACCACATTTTATTTGTAGTGCTTGTAAAACAATATTATCTTACCTAAAGATACTTTAAGAGAGCAATAATAAATCTTTTTTTAATCAGACAACATCCTTTATATCTCAAATTGTAAAATCATTATGTTAAAAGTATATGACATCAACCATAAACTCCCAATATCTTCATTCTAATCATTTGGATGCATAAACCAAATAAGATTATGTCAAAAATTAGCATCTTTTTATGCCTATTGTCATGAATAACAAATTCCCACGAGACTCACGCATAGTGTTTTGCATCAACGAATTCTTGTATTTTTATTATTTGTCATGCTTTCTAAATTTTTATGTAATGTCTCAACTCTCAACTAATATGTGTACTATCTTCACCCGTTTTGTGAAATGTATGAAACAAATACACTCAGACATGTAGTTGAAGAAGGAAACTCATTAGTAATGGTAGGTTGTATTTGTTATTTGTTTTCTAATGATATAAACGAATATGAGGTGGAGAGTGTTTTACCATATGTTGGTAAATAAATTACAAACTACAACGATTGATGAATACTTTTTCCTTTTAAGTGTCATCATTTGGTTAGTTTTTTTTAGGACTCTCAAAGTATTATAAACTTAACAAAAATGAAACCCAACTAATAACACATCGAAACAAACCAATAAATCATCAAAGTATCAAATTGGTATCACTTGCACTCAACTATGTATAAAATATTTTATGCTATTGGTTGTAACTTTAAATTTGAAAACTGTGAAACGAAATTTTATATAAGATCATGGACCTTTTTGTATAATTAAAAAAACTTGATTTAATAATTTTATTCAATGAAGACTTATTATGTGATTATGATGCAACTTACAAGTTGGAAACATTGTACACCCTAACTTCCTCCCTTGCCTCTTTTATTTCTTTAAAGAAAATACGGTTGAACATCATTCCGATACATTCTTCTCATAAAATATTTTCACTTCGTTCAAACTGTAAGATAGTTATAACTACGTAAAGTAGAAATATGTGATTGTATATATTTTAATTTGCATTCGAAAACCGTTGTTTTTTTTTTCTCATGAAGATATTTACTATTCTGTATTACTTTATGATTGAGTACTTTGATTTTTTTAATTTATACTTTTAATCGTCAATTCATGTTTTATTTTGTTTTATGATATTAATTTTATTTACTATATGTATTAAATAATTTAATAAATTTATTTTAACCGCATCCAATTTGTTTTGATATAGTTGTCTACAAAGAGGTACTTCAACAATTTGTAATTTTTTATACGTTTCTCCGCGTTTAACACGGACTATAATCTAGATATAAAAAAAAACATGGTTAGTTAGGAAACCATTTTACGATAAATAATGATTTCCAATGAGCCGAAATACAAAAGTATTTGATCATTTTTTGAAAAAAAAATAACTATCACCTTTCCTCAGATATTTAATGCAAAGTGAAATATATATATATATATATATATATATATATATATATATATATATATATATATATATATATATATATATATATATATATTCTTAGTATTTAAAATTGTACGTTTTGAGTAGCCATACATAAATAACTATTTACTAGGGGAATCTGAAAGCCTAAAAGTAAAGAGGAAGCCGTATATTCCTGCAGGATCACTACTTTTGCCAAATACTTTTAAGGTAAATGCAAAGTGAAATTACTGCAATACCCTTCCAATCAATAAAAGTTTGAAACTTTGATGGTAAATAACTTACCTAAACCCCAATCAAGTATACCCTTTACCTAAAATTTAATTACATAGACAACCCCCGTATTCATTTTCCTTTTAAATTTATATAAAAGAAAATATAAATATTTTCCTAACCAGCCAAATCATGGAGTAGTTGTGCCCCCATCAAATTCCTATAAGGCAAGTTGTGTCCTTGATCGCCTTCCAAAAGAGAAGAATATTGTACTGCAGTTTGGCAATCTTCCATATGATCTCTAGGGTAAAGTAGAGACACCCCACCACCGCTGCTGCCGCCACCACCACCACCGGCATGTTGCTGTAACCCTAATGTCAAAGAAACCCCTCCACCACCACCACTACCACCACCACCACCGCCACCACCGTTACCACCAAAACTGTGATTGTATGCTGAAAAGTCTAGCTCTACTGCACCAAAAGAATCAGCTGAGACCCTTGCAAAACCCTGGTGGAAGTCATGATCAAGGGTTTTCGTTGTATGGTGGTCGTGGTGGTTGATGATGGAAGAAAGACACTCAGAATCTCTCCGGATGAGCTGATCAACCGTTGGTTTTTGCTCCATTTGTGGGATTCCGGTATTTTCATCGATGGCTGAGACACCTTCAATGTTTCCATGATCATTCTCTTTCGTTTCTTCCACGTACATCTCCTCCACCATGGGCTTCCATAGTCTAACCCTTGCATTAATGAACCAATTTGATACCTATGCTCAAGTAATTAAAAGCATTTATAGATTAAAGTGGTTAGAAAACAAAATCTTTATTATGTAAGGCAAGTATATGTTAGTACGTATGAGATCTTGTAACACTAAGTCCTTTTTAATGTAAAAACGTGAATTAATTAAATGTGAAACCAAGAGATCGATATGGACATACTTGGCTTCTTGAAAGACCGGTTTGTCTGGCTAGAATGTGTTTATCGACATCACTAGGGTACCTGCAAATTTTCGGGTAACCAATAGTTGAGTATCATGATCATATGTATATAGTATATATAATAAGTTAATATAATTAAATATATGGGGTACAAAGTTTTTCAAATGTAACATGGTACATCTATATGTTTTATTTATATAGCTTTTGAAAATATTTTTTATTAGTTAATGCTAGAAAAGAATTAAAAGAAAACTATATTTTGTGGATGAGACTAAAGAAAGGGCACATAAATGGTCCCTATAAGAAATTAAAAGATGTATAGGAATATTATCAAATCCACAAGCAAACATAAGAAGAAGGCCCCAAGAGAAGAAATATATAAATAAAAAAATATTTGTGGGATAATATGACAAAAGATTAATATAGGCATCAAAATGGGGATAGATGAAACTAATGATTGAGTAGGAGAGATTGTAATGGAAATACTTTTACTAATTTTTATATTTCCAACAAAACAAACATAAAATTCAATTAAGCCTTCAAGAACATCTGTACGTCGTTGTGACGATCATTCATCAAGAATTAATTACTGTGTCCAAATTATGAACTAACCCTACAAAAAACTTGTTAGTTTTTTTTTGGATCTTAATTAAAAAACGAAATTTCTCAAGATCATTAATTGGATCGAGAGAGATGATGGTAGCCGGTGGCTTACGGGTGGAGGAAGTGTTCAAAGAGCCAAGCACGAAGAATGGATACAGATCGCTCAGGCAACCCACGTTGAGGACGCCATGGATGACTATCCATCATCGTCATCTGTTGAAAAGCCCTTTGTTGCCTCAGTGTTTGATCAAGAAGCCTTAGTCTGGGAGTCTCCCCTCTCGTTGCACCAGGGGCAGAAATGTCTTTTTCTCCCATTGCCTTCTTCGTCACCTTGATCTGACTTACAATTCCATCTCTCAAACACCTAAAATGTCTTGACATTGCCTTCGAAGCCAAAGCTGAATAAACTTTTGCTGCACCATTACCAGCCACTGCTTCAAATGAGGAAACGACTGCCTTCATTTGATCACAGTAATTATGGTATTTTCTATCCACCTGTTTCAAGCAATATAAGGACGAATATAAATCAGATGTTATATATATTTCTGTTTTTTTTTTTTTTTGAACTCATATGTAAATGTATTAATATCATAGATCAATTTTTAAGAAACAAACATTCAACAAGAATAGGGGTTTTGGAATTAAATGAAGCAGCAAACTTGTCACCATGTGGGCATTAATGGAAAGACTAGTAGTCACTCAGTTAGTTGAAAATCGTATATAAAGATAAGAACTTTCGACTAAAAATGAATCTTTAATCTTTCAGACTAAAGAAAAAAAAAGAAAAGGAAGGATCTGTAAAAGAAGACAAGATCAAATTAAACTAATTAAAAAGATTATATATAATTAATACCCAAAGAAATGAAGAAATTTATACCTCTTCTAGCATTTGAAGGAGCTTCGATTTTCTTTTTTGCAATTCCAAGAATTCAAGAGAATTTAAAGGTTTATTTTTTGAAGAGCTAGCATTAATATTATTCAAATTATCATGATCTTGCCATTGACTGGTTCTTTGAGCCTTTGTCTTTTCTGAATGATCGTTGTGCTTTGTTCCAAGATTACAGAACTCAGTGAGAAGATCTTGTGCAGCTACCAAGTACCTTGAGCTTCTTATGTTGTACTGTTGAGCACCACCTGAAGCCATGTTGATCATATTTTCTGATTTTCTCAAAAACTCGTCTTGATTATCTGTCATCATGTCATGTTGCTCATGCATATTCATAGGCTTCCCAAAATACCCCTGGTGATGATGATGATGATCTTGTGGTGGTTGTCTTACAAGCTCAAACGGTTGAATTCCAATGGTGGAAGGATTGGTCGAAGAGAGAGAAAGAGAAAGACCTTGACTTGGTCTTTCATTTGGTTCACATGGGATCAGAACACATCTCTGGAGAGTTGATTCGTCAAAGTGACAGAAATCTCCGGCGCCGACGCCGGTAATCATCATGGGCTTCGAAGAAGATGAAGGAGAAGAGGGTTTCCAGAAGAGATCTGAGTTGTGACTCGCTGAGTTGTGTTGCTCAAAGTTAAAGAAGTCATTAGGGTTACTTGATGCGTTAACATAAGGATCAAACCCTGTGGCAGTTCCCACCATCATATTGCTTCTTCTTATGATCTTCTGTTCTTCAACCATTTCAACTCATCATAAAATCATGACAACGTACGTACGATGAAATAATCCCCCAAAAGATTGAAAAAGAGAATCTTTTTTTTTTTTTTTTAATCTTTACCAAAATTTTCTTGCTTCTTCCTGACTAAAAACAAACCTAAAATATGAAATAGGGAGCTCAACTGCGTGTGGAGGTGGATAAGGTAGAGACCCTTTATGTATTTATGAAATATGGTGTTATGTTGAAAAGCAAAAGATGTGATCGAAGGGGGATCAGTGGACCTTGAAAGCCAAAACCTAACAAAACATGATCAGATAGAGTTGAACTAGCGGCGTTGAGGCGGTGGTGGTGGTGGTGGTGGTGAGTGCGGAAGGGGAGTGGCTGTGGAGGAGTGGAGACCCTTTATGTATTTATGTAATTTGGTGGTGTGTTGAAAAGCAAAACATGTGAAAGGAGAGTGATGCGATGAAACCCAAAACCTAGGAAAAAGGTAATTAAGCACACAGAGATATACGTGATGAGATATCCCTCTCTGAAATAGTGGTAGAGAAAAGGTGGGGGTGGGGGTGGGTAGGGGTGTTTGATGATATGATGGATTGATGATAATGATTACCCCTCATGAAATAATCACCAATACATAACACATATATGTTGAACACGACCTTCAACAATATATACATACAAATAAATAAATATATGTATCTAATATAGTCCAGAAAAGACTTCCTAGAAAATGATAAAATTATCATCCTCGATCTCAATTAAAGAAATCACGTACACCCAACGGTTAATTTAGCACGTACGATAATCTACTAATATATATATATATATATATATATATATATATATATATATATATATATATATATTATATATATATATATATATATATATATAAACCTTAGATTATATTGTTCATAAAAAATTACAAAATTGAAGAAGTTTATGATAATTGCTAAATTAAAGGCGTTATGTTTTTACAACCTAAATTAGTAACTGTTTCGAAAGAGAAGGAGACAATTTATATATAAGTCAAAATATGCAAAATTTTATTATATTTTTCACATAAAATAACAATTAAATCTCCCCCACCTTCTTACAAATTACTTTTTTAAGTTGAATGAGTTAGATTTTAATGTTAAATTAATTGATAAATATTATTTTTGTCTTGAATGAAAATATAATAAACTATGAAAAGTTGTTACAAATAAATCGTTTTAAATTAATTTACAAACTACAAATGTATCTACGTAATAATATAATATATCTCGATATATATTATACTAAAGTATTGGTCTCTCCATTTCAAACAAATCACCAATGCCTTGCCCTTAGATTATATATCGTCTAACAAAATAAAATTTAAAGAAAACCTATAAAATAAAATCATTATCACTATCACTATTCACCAGCATACGAGTGGCAAGCGTTTTGTAAAGTCAAGAATGGTACACAAACAAATACACATTCAATTAAAATTTTAGAATTTATCGAAACCAACACTACATAAAATACAAAAAACCTACAGAAATAAATATTAAAAAATAGTAATTAATGTATATATTAAATTTACAGCTGGTCTTATTTTTTTTGGACAAAAGAGTGCAACAGTTTATAAAACATAAATTCAAAGTATATATATATAATGAATGACGATGCTATAAGCCGCCATATGACATGCTTACATGAACGCTTGGAACATACTATACATAAAATATACTAGAAAATAAACACAAAGTACAACCTATATATACACACACACATGTACGACCCACCCACATGCATCATAAAGATTTGTTTTGTGCACAAATATCGAGAAACATAAGTCAATCAAGAGTTTGAAACCAGTCTTTTTGCAGAGGGAGTTTAATCTGATCATGGTATGGGATGGGTGGGGCTTCAATTTTCTGATCAAAATCGAAAAGAAGTACACAAATTTTATATGTCACTCTCTCCCATTTTTAAACCTAGCTAATTGGTCAAAATTACATGTCATCATTAATTATTAAGAAAAAGATGCACTTAATAATGTTATGATTAGTGCAGGCGTTATTGTATGCTTGTAAAGTTAAGATGTCATTTAGTTATCCTCTTTTTTAGGCAATTAATAAATAAGCCTAAATATTTTAATATAAAATTAAAATTTTAAAGAATATTTGTCTCTCAATAGAAACAATATTTAATCATCTTTCATAAATCATAACCTCTCTCTCTCTCTATGTGGTAAAACTTGTACACCAACCTCTCTATGGTACTTTTGAATTTTCACTTCTTGTACATGCAAAAAGGTAAAATGTTTAGGGGTTGGAGTAGGCCGATCTATTATCAATATCCACCCTATTCAAAATGATTGGTACGGTATGCATTTAAAATTGTAAATTAATGATTATATAGATTTTTTTTAAACACAGAATAATTTACAAGTTTTAATGCATAATGTACAAGTGTCGATAGAAACATAGCTTTAAAATGGAGAAATTTGAGTTGCATTGTGAAGAGGGTCATGAATTTGGATGGGTGGTCCTATATTTCCAATTAATTCTAATTAAGACACCTTTAAAGCACTATCCCACACCTATCTCATCTCTCCCTCTAGAAATGGGACCATCATTATTCCGTCCAATTTCTCTTTACTTTGCATCTTTTTGCCAATTTGCTTGCTTGTTTCAGATTTTCTTCGATCAATAAAAGATGTTTGTGTGGTATTAATTTTACAACAACCCTCATGATTTTTACTAGGAATTTATGAATTAAAGAAAGTGAACAAGAAATGAATGAAATTGGCGAAAAAAACAAGGCTCAATTGACAAGCATACATTCAATGTTTATTTTAAGTCTACCATTTCATCTGAAGACCCTAATCTATACTGCTCTTTGATTAATTAATCCAAAACAAATTTCCCATCTAACCCACATGTAAACCAAAAAAATATCTTTTTTTTTTTTTTTTTTTTTAATATTAAATAGTTCAAGAAACTAACATCATTTCAACATTTCACTTGACATCGATATGGTTGGTTGACTGGTTTGTTCCGGTTAAATAATAAACACAGATCAACGAACTAACTGTTAGCATGGGTCACAACCTTTGTGGCTCTCTACACCATATATAACTACAAACCAAGAACCATAGGTAAAAAGTATGATGTAATAAACGTAAAGGTCTTGTGGATGGACATATTGATAGAACAACATTCAACAAATTAAAAAGAAATGTTTTTTGATGTTTAGGTGAGAATGCAAATAGAAGTAAAGTACAGGGGTAAACGTTAAAAAATTCCTTTTGTCCTATAAGATTTGCAGTATGGCCCTTGTTCCAATCTAATTGTTAAAAAGTGACCCCTGATTAAAAGTAAGTAGCAGAACTAGGAGGAGGAGGAGACACGAAGGCAAAGTGGTTCACTTCGGAGTGTCACGCGCACGACATGTGAGTTTGTCCCCGCATACAAACTTTATTTTTCCCTCAATTAAAAGCAGGTGGCCCAGTTTATGACCCAAACCTTTCTCCGGCGCTTGTCACCAGGAGTGACGCCATAATAATCAAATTTTAGTAGTAAGTTTAAATGTAGGGATATTAATCAAAATGATTATATAAGGCCCTCCAGAGTACCGGTAATGAGTCGGTTCCTGATTTATTTGGCAACGACTGAAGTCCGTAAACACAACCCCGATGGTTTGTGATCGGCCGTGGGCGTGGTTGTTTGTAGTGTCCATCACGTGCTAGGAGTATGGGCTCTTGACTTCGTTGACTAGCCGTTCAACGGCTAATTTTAGGGTTTTTATTTTTTTAATATATATTCTCCTATAAATATCACTATATACAATCATATTTTTCACATAGTTATTTTCCTCCCTGTTTACTACCATGAATCTCAATCAAAATACACCTCCAAACCATTGAAACCGCAAGCACGATAATGTTTTCGTGTTAGACACAACCCAACCCTAACACGCAGACATGGAATCACCCAAATGTGGTTTCATGAACTTGCTCCAAGGTGGTTCTGCTATTACACAAACGCAACTATTTCAATAATCATATCAAACTTTTACAACCTATCAACAACATTTTTCACAACAATTCTAATCCGTTTTTGTATACAAACAACCTTTTCAAACACAACCACAACCATATTTTTCACCACCGGATTTCATAGCCGAAACACAATTAGAATAGCCCCAACAAGAAAAGAAGAAAGAAAAAAAACCCAAAAACACTCGAACAAATCAATGTGAAAGGGAGCCTTGAATAAAAGATGAAGAAGAGAAGTTAGCACAAACATGGATTTCGGATTCCAAGACCCCTACTCGAAGATGCTCAAACATCTAATTGTTTTGGGGAAAAAGTTCGAATCGTGTTGTATGGTTTGATGAGAAGTGAAAGCCGAAATCCCGATAAAATTAGTTCTAAGTGGTGCGATTTGAAGCTAAAATGTATCGAATTCGGCCGAATTTGCAACAACCTTACCAATCTACACAAAAGCATGTCAAATGATTTTGATATGTTTCGCATGACCATGGAACAATATGAAAATACAATACCGACCCACAAACCTTTTCACTATCTCAAACCGTGGATAAAGTTGGAGGATGCTACAAAATGGAAACGTACGACATATAGGACTTCTTCCGGTTCGAAGCATTCAAGAAATGCTGGTGGAAGTTCATAACAACCAGATGGCCGAACACACATTGACATCAATAATGAGTTGGTGGATTTTGAAGACGAACAACCTCTTTAGAGACCGATAAGAAGAAATAGAGCAAGGAAAGCGGCTTCCGGTTCGGGTTCAACAAATACAGGTTCTAGCATTATCAATCATTTAGGAAAAAAAATGATCGATATGTCAAACTAAATAGAGCATGACGACGACGATGAATCGGGTGGAAAAAATGGTAGGCGCGCAAACATCATTATAAACGAAAAACGATTTGGAGATATTGAAAATTAAAGCTGACGACTATAAGGGGGAATATTTGAAGATATTTCTTGCGTTGAAAAAATCCATCCAAGCTAGATATAGAAATATGAATTAGTTTTTTTTCCATATTTGAGATCTTTAAGTTTTTCTTTTTTTTTTTCTTTTTTTTTTTGGCGTTTTTTTAATCAATGTATTTGTTTTTAATTTTATGAATGAAAAACTAGTTTTAAAAAAATATATATAAGTTTTTTATTTTTTTAATCAATGTATTTGTTTTTAATTTTATGAATGAAAAGGTAGTTTAAAAAATAAATAGGTTTTTATTGTGTTTTTTATTTAATTAAAATAAATATGATGTGTAATGGTTTATAGTAGTGGTTATATCAAGTGTAATGTCGATGGTAGTGGTAATGAGGCGAAATCCATCACATTAGGTCATCCACAATATACACGATTAACTATTATAGTGGTGAATGTCATCACCATATTCATATTCAGTTATTAAAACTATGAGATATCTACCACTAACACTCACTCCACATTATTTTTATAATACTTTTAATTCAAAAATACAATAAAATCATATATTTTTTGA